CTGGCAACAGGGGGCGAGTTAGAGTCTCTCCTACGTGTGAGTTAATTTATCAAATCAGCAACGCCTCCCATCCCAGTCCTCAGAGAAGAGGATGTCTGATGAGCTCTTTCTTCAGCATCCTCGCCCACTCAGAGCTAAGGGGCCAGCTCCGGGAGGTCGCCATTCATTTCCACCGCTTCCAACCCTGCTAGCTCCACGCAGCTCATAGACAAGTGGTTAAGAAAGGAAAACTAAGCCCATCAATTTAGTAGCGATCACCCTCAGTTTGAAGGCTACATCCTTCAACGGCTGTCTGCCGTTTTTACTGAAAACTTTCATTTAAACCCACCAAAGGACTCATGTAATAAGCCCACTAATTGTTACTGACCTTTAATGTAAATAAACCTTTTCGCCTCGGACTTAAAGCTGGAGTGGGCTATACCGTCATTACCAAAGTGATCTCATCAGAAAGGTAACCGCACGCTTCCCCACCGCCACCCTCCTCATTCCAGGGACATTGTGCAAAGCCCTAAAGTAGTCTGAATGCAAATCTAGTCTTAAAACAAAAAACAACCCTCCTCCCCCCCTCCCCACACACACTTCTCCTTTTTAAATAGGCCAGATGTCCCAAAGGAAAACTACAGTACCTATCCAAACAGCCCCGTTCTTGCACCTGTCAGCTAACTCTAATTAAGATTCCTTACGGAAATCAGGCTGTTTACTTCCTTACCATTCGGCAGGGCTGCCGTATGCTTTTGTCATTCAAAAGTTTTAATCAACCACAACATTTCAAGAATGAAGATTACCTTCCTCCCCCGCCCCCCATGCATTATTGCCCTTGCCTGCGATTGACACGACTGAGCCAAGCTGTCTATGCGACAGGCTTCGGTAGATAGATTCCCATGAGGCTTTTTTTCAAAGCGATCTGCCGCGGTGTAGCAAATGAAGCCCTGCGATGCACAACAAGCGAAGTGCAGGGCGCCTCTGTTTACAATGAACATGACCTGCCTATTTTGGTGAATCGCTTTGGCCAATCTGGCGAATGAGTTACAAAGGGGGGGGGGAGTAAATGGAATCCGCAAATGTTCGAGCCTCGGGCCAGCTGAGGGCTGGGTCAAAGCGCCTTGGCGTCGGGGTCCCTGGACACAGCCCGGTTTTCGGCACCCTCTTGCCCTCCCCTGAAGCTAGCGCTACCCCCGGCGCTGAGCTGGGCTCCCCCACGTCCCTTGCACCGTGCCAGCCACAGAGCCAATGCCTCGCCCCTCGCTGTCTCCTACGCCAGGGAGCTAATGCACGGCCCCCGGGTATGAGCCCCCAGCCCCTTCCGTGCCCCCCCCCCCGATTTCAGTAGCCCCCGGACGGCAGCAACGGGAGCCCCGTAAGAGCCAGGGGCGCCTCCCTCCCGGGGCAGGCAACAGCCCGCGTAACGGGCAGCAGCGGCCGCTCTGGTCCAGGGAGCTTCCTTGGCTCAGCAGCAGCCGCGACCTCACCCACCTTGTGCAGGGCCGAGCGCCCCCGGCTCCTCGGGCAGCGTGTGCAGGGGCAGGCGGCGCAGGCTCTGCGGGACGCTGCTTCCCACCTCTCCTGTCAGCGCCCCCGGGCTACAGCATCCCGAATTAAACGCGCCTGCCCCTCCCTCGCGCCAGGCTCCAGCCCACCGCCGGCTGCTGGAAACGGGCCGCCCCCCTCCTGTGACAGCCGAGCCGCCCCCCTGCACCCCGCCGGCGGGAGTCGGGAGAGCGCGCGCGCCTCCACCTGCAGCGCTGGGGCTCCCCGCCCCTGCCCCGGGCGCGCGGCTGCCTGCCAGCCACCCCCTCCTCGGTGCCAGTGGCCTATAAGCCCCGCTTCCAACTGCCCTGCAGCGGGACGTCTGGCTTCTAGCTCCGCGGCCCCAGCACCGCCACGCCGGGAATCCGGTATCCAGCGCCCCAGGCCACTACCCCGGGTGGAGCCACCGCATCCGTGCATCAGGTACCCCCACCTTCCAGCTCCTCCGCCCCAACTCGCGGGGCTGCCGCCGTCCAGCTTCCTGCAGCAACGCACAAGATCCCGCCTCAGCGCCCCCACCTGCAGCCCCAGGCCAATGCAGACCGATCCTCGAGCTACAGGAGTCCCAGCTTGTGCAGGTAGTTACACACTCACCCTGTCCTGGAAAACTCTCAGCCAGTTAGCAAAAGCCGACTCTCCCCCACTGCCTAGCCCATGTGCCCTGCCGGGACAAAGGGACCTGCAGTAGCAGGCAGTTCTTCTACCCCAGTGTAATTTAGCCAGCAAATTGATGCTGATCAATTCCCAAACCACAACAATCCTGATAACTCTCAATACAGCTGCAAATCTCTTTACACACTAAAGACGACTTTAATCACTCTGTCTTTTAAGATATTTTAGGTCTCCGACTGTGTATGCCCCAAACAACACTTGGTAACGTTTTATCCCCTTACTTGAGACTGATGAACGATATATAACATTGCAAAATCCTTTTACCTTTTCACTGTTGCTTCCCAGTCATGGGCCAAAGGAAATTTCCAGTTACATAGCATCAATACTCAACAGACAGTAAAAAGGTCTATTATTTTATCTGTGCCACTGAAATTAAAAATATACACCAGTGAACTAAAGATAACCGATGGAAGGTTTGTTCAAATACGTTGCAAGGGAAACTTTTCCAATTTGTTTAGACTTCTCGAAAGCAAGCTAAAAATTTTCTCTTCCATAGTTAGGACCGGAGCGCCCTCTAGTGAAACAACTAGTTTGAGAAGAGACCCAAAGAGAAGATGGAAGTTAGGAAGGTGAGTTGAAGGGTCATGTTGGGGGACGGCCTTAAACCCAATGTAACATCTTTTACAGTGAAAGTTCTAATGAACTTTCCTGGCTTTGTACAAATAGCTTTACGGGGTCCCGGCTTATTTATGTCTCAATCGTTCCCTTATCAAACATGCTCAGTTTTCAAGTAAATGAGTTGAGAGTGCTGTCCAGAGCGGTCACAATGAAGCACTGTGGGATAGCTCCCGGAGGCCAATAACGTCGAATTCCGTCCACACTACCCCAATTCCGACCCCCTAAGGCCGATTTTGTCGCTAATCCCCTCATCGGAGGTGGAGTAAAGAAACCGATTTAAAGGGCCCTTTAAGTCGAAAGAAAGGGCTTCGTCGTGTGAACGTGTCCGATGTCTATCTAAATGTCAGCCCAGCAAACTCATCGGAAAAGCTGTCTCCTTTCCTGTTCATTCATTACCATGAGCAATAGGCTTGTGTTATAACAGGAATTATAACTAAAACTAAGAGGTTGGCCTGTCCTAGTCACCTGACACGGGACTAGAAGGTTAGTACATCTGTTTTATGACAGAGTTCACTATCCAGTGACTTCAGTTACACTGCAACTTACAAGGCAACCACATTGTCCTTAAATTATGTTTTCAGTTAGACCTTGTACAACACTATTACCATTAGTGAGGTTGCACAGGTGTAACTAGGATATACGTTGAAGCCAATCAGGTTACACAGGTGGCCCAAAATTGGAATTTAGTTAACAGTTCTGTTGAGTCAGGAACCAGAAAAAAGATATAGTTCACTGTCCCAGAACTATGTTGGTTCTGAAGGGCTAACAATAAAACGTGTTTTCACTCAAGTAAGCAAATCTGACTCTGAATGCAGACAACTCAGCATCTGCTGTATAAAAAAGTGCCCTAGTTACATAATCACTGTTTAGAGCAGAACTACATGTTAAAAATGTGTAGCACTCTTGAGATCCTAAAATCTCTCTGTTCTCCAGAATAAAGGCTGCAGAGTAGGAAAAAACACTTTGCTGTGCTATCCTACAGTAAATAACTGACTGAATACACAATTTGTTTTCCAAAATGGGCATATTTAGAGAGCAATGTGATCTGCATGAAGATATAGTGGTGCCTGTTTGCTCTCAATTTCGAGAAGAGAATTGAAATTAGTGAAGAAACTCAAAAGGTTTGGAGATGTGGTTCTAATAAATATTTTCCATTTGAGTGCTTGTCCAAGTTTTTTGTTGTTGTTTCTTTTCCCTCTCCAACTCTATGCTTTTCTATTTTCTTTCTCTGTCCTCCCAACCCAACTAAATTCTTTCTCTAAGGATAATCATTTGCTTCTGACACCCATTTCCAGACTGGTAGGCACAATCAGCTATTGCACATTATACCCGCTTTCTACAAAATGCAGTGGCACCATGTGCCTGCATATCAGAGGAAATGATCAACCCAAAATATGATTCCTGGAAATTTTGGTTAATCTTCAACACAGTTGTGAAATGGGAGAAAAGTATTGTAATAGCCAGTAAAATAAATTATAGACATCAACCACCAGCAGAGTGTTAAAAACAGAAAAATAAATATGGATTCTAAGACCCAAATTCTAGCTTTATGCAAGTGAATTGATCCACTGGCTTCAGTTAAGCTACTCGTGTGCATAAAGTTACACAGATGCTTAAATCTTTGCAGGGCCTTAGACTGTAAATTATTTGGGAAAGAGACCATGTCTCCATTGGTGTTTTTATAACACCTAGCACAATGGAAGCATGATCTTGATTGTGACCTCTGAGCACTATACATTGTATCCATAATAAACACTACTAGTACTTGATGGATTGGTGCAGTCTCATACAGGTATTTTGTAAACATCTATTATAATTAATAGTTGAAAGGAAGTGCTCCTGACCTAAACCATCCAAGTGACATGATTTTTGTTTGTTTCTTCCATTCCACACCACCCCTTTTGGTCTGTTTTTGACTCTCTTGGATTAGACTGTTGCTTCTTGTAAAGTCCCATAAAAACTCATGGAAACAATAACGTATTTGGCACATATACTGCATAGATAATTCTCTTGTATATCCCAAATCTTAATTCAGTTATCCCACATTGGGTATGTGGGATTTAGATGTACTCTTTGTAGTGGGAAACAATTCTGATACGCTGATAGACTCCAAAGTTCACATGCATAATTTCTTTATTAATCTGTTGTCAGTAGTTATGTTTTTCATTATACATATTCTTTCTTTTTGCTGGACTGTAAAATATGTATAATTTAGATTAATATTAAACATGGCAATTGTGAAGCCCCGTTGTTCATAAAACTGTGAAATATGAAGATTTATGCTTATTTCATTGAACTATTGCAACTATGATCCTGTCCATCTGTGCAGCTGGCATGTTCCCACAAGGAAGTTGGTTGGAACTATGATAGCATTATCCTTTATTTATTTTGAGTTAGCTTAAGACCATGGGCCTTTGCAACTTATTCCAGCATTGAAACACTTTCTCACACCCACACTTAGGCTTGATTTTAACTACTGAAATTTCCAAATGAGACTAAACAGTGCAAATAGGAAAGACATGAGAAAAGAGGTTTTTTTGTGGGGCATAACCAAAGGCAAAATCAAAGAGGAAAAAAAATCTGATTTTAGCTAGTCTACTGGAGTTTACAATAGCGCAGTTTAAGTGAGTTGTGACCATCAAAATTCAGCCCCTAGGTGTGTGCCAGCAGAGGATGTGCAAGCCTAAAAAGGAAAATTAAGCATTTTTTTATATGTCATCATCATATTCAAGAGCAGGAGCAAACTATCACTCTCTTTGAGATACTTCAACCCATTTATGACACAGTTCTCTTAAAGCATGCTTAACTGAATCAATCAGATGTTCATGAGGGCCATTTTCACTACATAGGGAAAATCTACAGTAGTCAGGGAGTATTTGGCAAAGCTACAAGTCTGAGCTCCATTGAAACAATGCAGAACAGCTTTTGTCTCCTAAGTCAAGATTAAATTTAATGAGTACCAAGCTGCAAGTGTCACAACTGCAGAAACTGAATTTTGGCTTCAGATCCCTAAATTATCAATAAGAGCAACACCTGATAGACTAGTAAAAATAAAATATTTAGTTTCACGTAACTAATATCACATGCACCCTGTATTGTATAACTTGTTCTGTGGTTTTGTATTGTACTGGTGTTTGCCTTTAAATGACAAGCTCTTTGAGACAGGGATCATACACTGACAGACCTCACAAGCGTACAATGCTATATAAGGACCAAATTCTTTGCTGGTGTAAGTTGGGGGAGCTCAAGTATGGTTGTGTAGCCTTGATCCCAAGGAGCTGTGGAAGGCATTGTGCTCCACATGGCCCCTTATCCAGTGCTATTAGTATATGGCCAGAAAAGCAGGTAGGAAACAGTGCCTTTAGTTTGAACTTTTTTGTTTATGGTTAAATAAGTATATTAACTCCCACCATGAATGCAACTCATCATTGTTTCAAGTATTTTAATAAAAATTGTCCATCTTTTCTGATCAAATTCTTTTTCAGCCTGAACTGAAACAATTTGTGACTCATTTGCGTATTTATGATCCTGTACAGTAGTAGCAGATGTCTTAAATGTCACTACTTTCCTCTCCAAAATAAGCACAACTTGATTCAGATGGCATACATTTTAGTTTTTATTGTACTGTAATGGTCAAAGCCCTCAATAAAATGTTAGTACTGACATTTGGAGCTCAATTTTTAACATATTTACATGATTGTTATGTGGTTTTGTGGCATATCTTTTTACAGAGGGATTGAGGTGATTATTGTGTGCATAATTTGAAAATGTGTAAACATGCACAGATGAAGATCTGTATGCAGATAAATCAAAGGGAAAGTATACTGCAGAGGCAAAGTATGTTATGTTTACTTACTCATAATGTCTGTTTCCTTAACTGATTTTTTTCAAACTTTGCAAAAAATTCATCCCTACTGAGGACTAGGAACTTGCCAAGTTTGAATTCCTGAGCTTGAGTTTTCTGTCCTCCTGCAAATGTGTCACTGATCTACATCAGTGCTACATCAGGTAACGGTAAATACATTGGCCCAGGAGCTCTGGGGCCATCAGTGTTGTTGCAAGCCATGGACAACAGCAGATAAACAAAACTCAACAGTAGTTAAAGAGTATTACTTACTTTTGCTCACTGAAACTCTGCAGTGATGGTGATGGGAAGGGCATGAGGGGAGTGGGTGCCCCAAATCTGAGGTAGTTTTACTTGTCCTATCACCATGCAAATTACTGAAATGCAGATGAAAGGGGGAGAGGGAAATGAAGAGTGAACCAGAGGGGAGGGTACCAGAAGCATGGAGTGGTTAAGGGAGGGAAAGAGGGGTAAATAATGAAGGAGAGGGAAGGAATAATTGAGGGGTCATTGGGACCTGTGAGGAAAGAAAAGCAGTGTGAGTAGAGGAGGTTTAGTAAGGTTAAAAAATTAAACGCAGACTACTTGGAAATTCTGGAGATTCAGACTTTGAGGATATCAAATACAGCTGGTAGGAAAAGAAGTGTGAATGTTTCTGTTTTCCAATTGTCAAAATTTTTCTTTGATAGCAATTTTCCTACCAGCACTGGGACTTCCTCTGCTTTATAACCTGGGCCCTTTTTCCTCAAAGTGAAAACACAGATTCAAATATGACCTAATATTGAAGCCTGCTGTTATCCTGGAATGGATCCACAGTATCTCTGTTTAAGTCAGTACACTTATAAATCTGGAGTAACTGAGAGCAGAATTTCGGCCCACTTTCTTATTCCACACAGGGATCTTGTATGGATATCAATGTGTGTTCTTGGCAAATGTCAGGGGGTGAGAGTATGAAGAGGTAGATAGCCTTTTAGACTGTGATCATGTGGATAGAGTTATTCTGTATTTGTAACTGAAAGCAGAATAGTCTAATACACTGATAAGTAAAGAAAGAATATGACACTATATCAGAAAAAAAAGACATCAATGACCAAACACTGCTATCAGGTACACACATCTTACTTCAGATTTTGTCAGGAAAAAAATCAATTGTTTTATTTTTACACTTGGCTCATAAATTGATAAAAATCAGTACTAAAATTTCTAAAATTCAAAAAACTAAAAGAATATTCAAAATATAAAACATATATAGGGATGGGGGAAATGTACACAAGAATAATTGTGTGTATAAAGAAGTAGTATAAAGTGCCACAACTCTGGGTCCAAAAGTAACTTTTGAAAGTCATTTTATTTTAAAATAGCCACTTTTAAATGTTTTAGTCATTTTTCAGTTCCAAAATCTCATTTTTTCCTGACTGCTTACCATCTATTAGTAAAAATATGTGATGACTAGCTGACACTGAGCCATCAATTCTGCAATATAATGGAAGAGAAACGATCATGAGGCAAATAAAGATTTTATAAATAGTTCACATGGTATGGCTGTTAGTTTGTTTCTTTGTTTAGTGCTGACCATTGTGAAATAAGGCAATTTTTAAAAAGAAGCCTGTAGTGCTGACAGAAGACTAAAAACACAGCAAGCACTATGAAACTCACCCTGATTTCTTTAGGCAGACAAGTCAAGTATTATGTGTACAATACTACATAGAAATTTCAGTTGTGGATATTTTGTATGATTCAAAGGCAAAGAAGGGGGTTAAATCCCTATTTGTGTATATTACAATCAATGACATGAAGACTAATTGCCTTTTCACCCCTTGAAGTGAGGTGTGTTCCGAATCCATTTTATAGGCCACACAACTCTAGTCTGGTATTTAACTGTGATATATACCGGTACTACTTTTCTAACTTCTATTGCTCTAATTTCCTGGTGGGAGACTCTCGACTTTCTCAAGGAGTTTCCATCTCCCATCCAGTTATTATTAGTAATACATTAGCACAACCATTATCAAGCTGTCAGGTCTCACAATCCCACTTCAGTGAGGCTTGGTACAGAGACAGAAACATTGAGGACTAATGCATGAGCCACAAGCATTAGAATGTTTACAGGCTGATTTAAGAGTGTCCTGTCCATAAACTGATCGTTAAGAGAAATGTTTATTCATATATTCAAATGCATCCAGTTAATATCATTCTTCATTTAATCAAGAAAGTAGTAGTGGTTTGTAAACCATTTTGGCTTTTTTTATTGTTACAGTACAATTCTGGAGGCTGTCCATTGTCCTGTTTTGTCTCCAAAAGCTGGTTTAGGAAAGGGTCCTCTTGAATGGAAAAGGAGAGAGGATGTAAAAGAATGGAAACTGCTAATACGTTGTGAAAACCTCTGCTAACTATGTAAACTTTGCACCCACTCCTAGAATTTGCCAGTGCAGATCTCATTATTTTTATATTAATGAACCCAGCCTGCCTACTGTCTGTAGCCTCAAACATTTTTGTTTAAACAATATTCGTAAACTATACCAGTCTGCAAACATGTTCAGATCAGTCATATCTCAAGGGAATATGTCTGTCTAGAGAGCAGGGACTTCTAGAAGCTTGTCAGTTCATGATTATTATTGATAGGGTTGGTCAGAAAATGTGGGGAGGAACCTGCAAATCGTTTAGTTGGATTTTTCCCCCCTGATTTTCATTCAAATTTTTCATTTTCTTTCACCAGCTCTAGATCTGGTAAAAGAAATAGGGGGGGAAACCCACAAACATTTCAGAAGGTTTTTGGTTTCGCTATATTTCATTGTAATTTTGAATTTTTCTATGCTGCTCTATTTATTATGGGTCAAATTCATTCACTCATGTTGAACACTACCTTACTCCATGAGTAGCCCCACTGCAGCCAATGCAATCACATATGGAGGAAAGTGCTACTCCACCCCAGTAAAAGTGTCAGAATCTGGCCACATTTTTGTAGCACCTCAAGTTAATCAGCTCTGTACAACAGAAGAACAGTGCCAATGTATACCCAATCCCTGTCCCAGAGAGCTGACAGTGGAAATGCACAAGGGGAACTGGGATGGTACAATACAATATACAATCCTTAAAAAAAAACCAAAACACTGGGGTTCAATGGCTGAAAGAACATGAATCCAGAAAACAACCATGGGCCAGAATCTGTATTGTTGCCCAAGAGGGAGAAGAACAAAGGCGGTTTATGCCATCTTTGCACCTTCTGAATTCTGGCCTGATCCAGTGGAGCCCAGGGCATAACTTTGAGCAGTTCTAAGGTCTGCTCTAAATTATGGCATGTGCCTACATAGGTGTTAAATAGATTGGAATGGCTGCCTGTGGAACACACTGGAGCCCAGAATAGCCATAGTCCAGTGCACCTTTTCCTGCTCCTGAGACACTCCTGACATGCCTCTGTGCTGGGGGCTATATAGGAATGTAGCATACAGCTAATCTGGCCTACATTGTGGAGATTCCCCAATGAGGAGCTCCATCTGGACTCCAGCCCCTTTACTCCACCCAAGTGGTGTAAAGAGCCCAGACTGCAATCCTGAATAAGCGTGGTTAGGGCAGAAAATAAGAATCAGCTCTTGATTTCCATTACCCACTCATAATGTACCTTCTGCTGTCTTCTCCTATTCTTGTATGGGGGGTTAGATGAGGAGTACAACAGATAAAACTGATTGTGTCTATTTTTGAACCCTCTCTTATAGCACTTTTTGTTTGATCTATTACAGAAGTTTTGGGAAGCAAAGTGAAGATTCTTAGAACAGCAGACTACTTGCTTCTATATTTGTTCCAAATGCACAAGATTGCATTTGAACAGCTAGATAGTAAACACAACCCTCGAACATGATCCTGCCATATGATCCATACTGTGCCTTTGTAGGACACTGAGGATTCAGAGCCAAAGTCTGCCCTCACATGTACTCATGTAGCTCCTGAAGGCACATGTTCAGAATTAGGTCGTCATCAATAGTTTTCTTGAGTCAATCTTTCTATTGGCAAATAATAACATTATTAAAGGAAGAAATTAAGCTGATTTGCAGAAAAGAAGAGGAAGAAGTTCCTGTTATTTTTACAGGAATAAGAACTAGATGGTCATACGTCAGTCATGTTGCATATGGTTGCATGAACTGTGTGCCACTTCAAAACAATCTTATGCTTTTGTTTTTTTACAGCTGTTATTTGATCAAATTAAGAAGAGTAGAATAAACCCTGAGTCACTCATTCTTCTATTACCCCATCTATTGTATGTAACTCTTAGTAGTTTTATTATGTATAGTGGATATGATTAGAAAGCAAGCTCTTCACTCCAGGGATTGTGTCTTCTGGTATGTTCTGTTAAGTGCCTAGCAGCCTGTGAAGTGGCTGTCATGAATAAATAATCACAATGAAGAATACAAGTTATAATTTGCCTCCATAAATTTACTAAAACCCTGACTTTTCCTTTAAGGCATTTTAAGACTTTTAAGGGCCCCACTCTTGCAATTTACAATGCATGCAGACTATTCATACATTGTAAACTGTAGGGTAGGGCTTAATTAATTTGTACATAAAGGACCAGAATGTCATGGGCATGTAGCAGGAGGGTGAATAAAATAGAGAGGGCGCAAGACGCACTCCACACAGTGGCCACCTACAACACTACGGACAGTGCAATCTCTGCTCCTTCCTACCAACTCTGTGAAAACTAAGGCCCAGATCCACAAAGGTATTTAGGCTCCTAAAATAAAACTTAAGACAATAAATACCTTTGTGGGTCTGAGCCTCGGAGTAAAATCCTGGCGCCACTGAAGTCCATCAAAGTTTTGCCATTGACTTCAGTGGAGTCAGTATTTCAGCCTCGGTGAGAGCACAGTTGTGAGAGCTTCTCCCCAGCACAGTACCGGACCAGCACGCCGATTAGGGGCAGAATAGGCAGCTTGCTATACCCCATTCAAAGTAGTGTACCTTCTTCATGGGCCAGCACGGCTGAAAGTACCAGTCACAAACTACACCTAAAGTTTCTCAGAGTCACCTATGTCATATTATTAGTAAAGAAAACAGATGTAGGAATACTTTTCTTCAAAGACTATGATGCAGTCTCGTAATGGAACCACATTAAAATGGATAGATGGCACTTATTTGTGTTAAAATATTATCTGTTTTTTATGCACCTGGGGCCCAATCTAGTGGGAAGCACCATGGTATGCATAGGGCACTGGCCTAGGAGGCCTGGGTTCTATTCTCAGCTTTGCCTTTAACCTGCTCTATGAATTTTTGGAAATCCACTTAACCTTTCGGTTTCCACTCCTTTGTCTGTCTTGCATATTTATACTTCAAGCTCTTTGGGTGCAGAGAACTCTCTCTTACTTTGTGTAGAGACAGCAGTTAGCACATGGGGTCCCTGATCTTGATTGAGGCATCTTGGAACTACTGCAATACAAATGATAAATAATGTTAACAACAACATTCTGAAATCCTCCCTGCAATTTTACTCAGGCAAACTCCCAATAAAATCTGTGGGAGTTTGCCTAAGGTTTGAGTATGAAAAGAACACAGGCTCTGCCCTCCAAACAGTAAGAATCATGCATGGAAATTACAATCTCAAATGAGAATAAAGGAAATTTACAACTGCCAGTGAACTTCCTTATGAAAGGGACATTACAAAAATAGAGTGTTGTTAAAAAAAATCAATTTGATCAAACCTATAATTGATAGAATTGTTTTCACGATGGCTTCACATGTAAGTGACAACATTTTTGTTTGGATGTAAAAATCCCCCCAGCAATTTGCATCCTAAACATTGCACACATGGATGAGAACCAGAAACTGACCTGAAAGCTAAAAATGGCTAGAAACAAACAATGGAAAAGACTAATTTACTTTTCACTGACTAATCTGAATAAAATGTTAAAATAAAATAAAGGTAAACAAAGGACAAAGCACCAATCAGAAAAGGTAAGTGAGATTTGAAAGATTCTTTGTTTGTAATAATCTGAACACAGCAGATGGGGGGCAGGAGGGGGGGCTGGCTCAAGCAATTAGGTGCAAGGGATATGAACTGCCAAACTTAGAGTGACGGGGGGTCTCAACCCTGGCACAAATTAAGCACTGGAACGTGAACACAAGGAAGGATGCTTCTTTAAATATCAACAGAGGAAGAAGTGAGGTTCTTTCCCAGGACAGCTTATGCTCCCAATACTTCTGTTAGTCAAAGGTGCCACAGGACCTTCTGTTGCTTTTTACAGATTCAGACTAACACAGCTACCCCTCTGATACTTTTCTAAATATGACATTTTCAATCTGTCCCTTTAGGGTGCTGAATATAAACTCAGAATTAGCAACTGTATTAATGGGCACTCCCCACGCCCATCAGTGGCATGTCTTTTCTCGCACCTCTTGACCAGGGCTGTATCTTCTCCAGCCGTGCTAATCTGAACGGGGAGACTGGAAAAGGAAGCGGAGTGTGGAGTTCGCTCATTGCCCTACTGAAAAGCGAACAACAAAAATCCTCCCTCCCCATTTTCTAAAGGGGGGAGACCCCACCCGGGGCTGGGATCCCAACAGGCTCTCATTCCCGGGCTGGTACAGCTTCCACCTCCATCCAGCGGCTCTATCCCTTTAAATTGCCGCCGGTGCCGCAGCCGGTGCCGGAAGGACCCTGGAACTGCAGCTGGTGGTGGCTATTTATACCCGGGCTGGAGCAGGGGGAGTTGGACTGTGCCTCAGTGAGAGCGTGGGCAGGGAAAGGCCGCAGCGCGCAGGGGGCGGGCGCCGGGATTCCATGTCTCCTTGAGGCGCCGGCTTGGTTGTGCAGGGGCTGGGGGTGACCTGCAAAGGGGCGTTTCCTTCCTGCCATGGATGTAGCAGGGGCCTGAAGGTGCTTGCCCAGCCCGAGGCGCCCCGGGCGGCGGCCGCGCTAGCCCCGAGGATCGTGCCCGTACAGAGGCGGCCATGGCCACGGCGGTGTCCTCCACCCCGGGAGGCAGCGGGCGAGCTCTCGGTCGCTCGGCCGCATTCTCCCCGCTCAGCCCGACCCGGCTCAGCCGGCTGCAGGAGAAGGAGGAGCTGCAGCAGCTCAATGACCGCCTGGCCGCCTACATCGACCGGGTGCGGGCCCTGGAGGCCGATAAATCCACGCTGCAGCTGCGGCTGGCGGAGCAGGAGGAAGGGAGCAGCCGGGAGCTGGGCAACCTGCGGCTCCGCTACGAGACCGAGCTGGCGGATGCCCGCAAGGCGCTGGACTGCATCGCCATCGAGCGGGCCACGCTGCAGGTGGAGCTGGGCAAGCTCAGCGAGGAGCACCGGCAGCTGCACGCCAGGTCGGTGTCTCCTCCCTTCCCTCTGCGCTAGCCGGGCTGCGAGAGACTGCTCTGCACGGCCTGGCCCCTGTCACATGGCAGGGGGAGTAGCCTCTGGCTCCAGCGGCTACTATTAGCGCACCCCGCCCCCCCTCTTCTGTGTCCCTGGCCCTCCTCCCTCCTCCTCTCTTCCTATAGCTAAAGGCCTCTCGAACTTCCCTGCTGGTCACGGCTCCTGCAGGCAGCTCGCAGATTGGTGTATGGTACTGGGATTTCCTGGGAACAGGTGCTTAGCACCCAGGGACAACCGAATCTGCTGCAACTAATAAAAGTATAGAGGGATCGCTCACCTGTAAAATGACAGGCCTCAGCTACGTTATGGGGGAGCCTGGCTTTAATGGATTACCCGTGTGCCGTGTGGCTATTGATGCCCCATTTAACTGACCCCTGTCGAGAGGTGCCTGTTAAGTTAAGAATCCTACCCTAATGTGGCCCTTACATGCCGATATCTATTGCTAGGGTTGACCTGGTGAGTAGGTCTCTAAAGTATTCCCATTCTAAACCTGTACAGGAATAAAGCCTGTGGGTGCTCCGAGACTGGAGCAAATGCTTTCTCTACTGACCAACTTTCAGCGGCTTACAACTCTTGGACTTATGTCTTGCATGCTTGGTTTTGGTTCAGAAGTTTAAGCTAATCTCTCATTTTGTGACTGGAGAGCAAGGAAAGGACTGGTGCCAGTTCTGAAATTTTTCAACTACTTTGTGTTTTGATAACTTCGATCTTTGTTTATAGAACCTTAGACTTGGCTGATCTGTAATCCTGAGAATTGGTGCTTTTTACTTTCTGAAACAGCTAGGCTTTAGAAATGACTGACTTTACAGCCTCCTGAAAATGGAAAAGGGCTTACATACGCAGTATGTTCAGCAAAAGATGTACTAGATCTAAGTCCTAATATTTAGAGGTGCTTGTTTCTGTGCAGTCTAACAGCAAGTGTCTCAGATGACTTGGAACAACCTTATCTTCCTGGATGTCATGAACTTGATATACCCTTTAAATAGCTTAGAACTCGTATGGGGCGAACAGTATCTAACACTCTTCCTGCAAGCAATAACCATTAGTTGTTCAACTTGGTTTACTACACAGTACTTCGTACACTCTTAAAGTATAAAGACATGAGATGCAAGTGCATACTTACTCCAATAGTGGTAACTGAAGAGCCAGTTGTAGGATGCTTGAAAAGAATGACTGGCATAGTCCCACTAGCTCTCTCATCCCATCACAATTGCAGGAGAAAGATCAGAACAGGAGTAAGGGCACAGGAAGAGAATACAAGTAATAAACAGGAAGATACTTGGTCTAACTGGTTTTAGAGATACAAATAACTCTGAATATACAAATATGATGGTTCCACCTCAATGTGTAGTTCAGTGATGCAAAATGGGACCTCATAAGTGACTCTTATGACTGTTTTGGATGTCCTCAGATCTTAGACACATATAGGTAAACCCCAATCTTTCTTTAGTAAGAAACAGACTCTGAAAATACTGGTTTAATACTGATGCATCTGAAGAAATGAGGTGTTTTACCCACGAAAGCTTATGCCCAAATCAATCTGTTATCCGGTGGCACCTTAAAGGCTACCTTGTTGTTTTTGTGGATACAGACTAACATGGCTACCCCCTGATACTGGTTTAAGCTCTTCTAGTCAATCTGAGATCCATATCTGTTTGAGGACTGGAGGAAGAATAAAAATAACTCTATACTTTGGGGTGTCATTCACTATTCCTAGTAGCCAACCACTAAGGCAGTCCTGCGAACTATGAAATTTTGTATACACTTCTAAAAGCCAGCATTGACAGTCATTCAACAGCTATGTTAAGGAGTAATGTAGACTTTTAGATGGTGGGAATATGGCAGCACATGTCCAAAAGGGAAAATGTGTCTAATAAAATTCAAACCTGCAGAATAAGAATTCCACATGAATGGGAACAGATGACCGACAATGTCTGTCCTCTTACTCATAACCACACAGAGTAAAGACGTATTTGAATTTTATAGTAGCTGTTGGCTGGGGAACCAATAATTGTCTTAACTTTTTGTATTAACAGCAATAATGCACAATTAAATTGCCCTGTGGGATAGGGGATAAAGGACAAACTCAATGACTAATTGTAAATCCTGACTTAGAAACTCACAATTCATCCACTTCCCAGATTGTTGATTTCACCATGAGAAAATAGGGATTGTGCCTTAAAATCTAAGCAAAGGACTGTCTGATAATCAGGAATGTCACTTTCCAGTATCAGTTCTAGCAAATCCATGTCTGTCATAGCTGTTTGAGGCCAGAAACATTATAGTGTCTTTGAGTCCCATGCTCTTCCCTAGCACTTTCTATTGCAGGGGTGGGCGAATTTTTTGGCCTGAGGGCCACACTGGGGTTACAAAACTGTATGGAGGGCTGGGTAGGGAAAGCTCTGCCTCCCCAAACAGTCTGGCCCCTGACCCCTCCCGCTTCCTGCCCCCTGACTGCCCCCCTCAGAATCCCTGACCCATCCAACCCCCCTGCTCCTTGTCCCCTGATCGCCCCCTCACGGGACCTAACCGTCCCTGGGATCCCACCCCCTATTCCAACCCCCCTGCTTCCAGTCCCCTGACTGCTCTGACCCCTATCCACACCCGTGCCCCTTGACAGGACCCCATGCCTATCCAATCCCCATCCGTTCCCTGTCCCCTGACTCCTATCCACACCCCAGTCCCCTGACAGGCACCCTGGCACTCCCATACGTATCCAACCCTCCCCCCATCCCCTGACTGCCCCCCAGAATCTCTGCCCCATCTGACTGCTCCCTGTGACCTCCTGCCCCTTATCCAACCCCTTGGCCCCCTTACCATGCCACTCAGAGCAGCATGTCTGGCAGTCTGGCAGCCTTGCCGCCTGGCTGGAGCCAGACACACTGCTTGGCAGGAGCGCGCAACCCTGCTGCCCATGCGGCGGTGTAGCTGCTGGGGAGGGGAACAGCGAGAGAGGGGCCAGGGACTAGCCTCCCTGGTTGGGAGCTCGAGGGCCAGGCAGGACGGTCCTGTGGGCCGGATCTGGCCTGCAGGCTGTAGTTTGCCCACTGACCTATTGCTTGGGGAAAGAGGTGGGCATGCCATACTTTCCAGTGTATACCTTCTTGGCCCACCAAACTTCCTACTGCGTCCTGGTTTTTCCACATAAAAATCACTTTACCAGAATCCTGTCCTGGATGCCAAGGTCTGAGCTCCCTCTGAGAATAAAGTGGAGGTGGGTGAGCCTGGCAGCCCATCTAGTCCTGAGGCAGAGGCCTACTGGCCGTCCGATACCATTCTCCTGGCTCCTCTCTCCTCTCCCGCTCCACGTAACCCCATGCTATGAAGCCCTATGCTCCAGGAGGCCAGTGACTGAGTTGCTTTCCTAGTGAGCATGCTCAGGGTTGTGCCCTACTCTGATCATAGCCAGGATGGTGGCCTCTTGGGGCCAAAACTCCTCCCTCTCTCATGGGTGGTGCCATTACAGGCTGCTGGCACTTGGATTAGTGGATGGCCCCAGAAATGTTTTCTGCCAGCCTGGAGTTGCTTTACCAGGGATTTGGCTAAAGTTTGAGGAAACAGTTAAACATCCCTAATGTTAGTGTCCGCCTGAGCCAAGAAAGATGCTAAGCACATGCCTGATGCGACACGGGTGTAACTGAACTAGCCACTCAGCTGACTGAAATTCCCCTTCTGTCCTGGCATTACATGTTAAACCTGGGCTTGAAACACTTGCTAGACATGTGCTAGTCAGAGAAGTAAATCACCTAGCCCAGAGGAAGATGTGAAAGGAAAGGTTTTGAGGGTCCCATTTGAAGGTCAAAGGGGCAATGCCCACTCTTACTCCCAGCTGATGAGAAGAAGATTGTTGGCATTTCTACCACTGTTGCCCTTTTGTAGGACTCCTTTTTTCCCTCCTCTCTGGCTAGCAGATGTCAAATTTTAAAGCTCTGTCTTCTAGCTACTTGAAAGGAGAATTGCTCTTTCTCACCCTTGTCACGATCACTGCTACAAGAGCTTCTAGCTGCTGTCTGTTCAGAAAACACTCAAGGGGAGATAGTGAAATCTGAGACTACTTTAGATGGGTGGGTGGGGGTCAGTGCTACTGCAGTGGGCACTGTAAGAGGATGTACAGAATGAACTGGTGATTCGAGGGTACAATGAAATAATATTAGGTGTTAATGTTTGCATGCAGGTTTTTTGTATAGTTTTATCTTTTGGGTGATGATGGATAGTGAATTATACTCCAGTGCTACTCTTAACCATTTATAAATAGACAAGAAATGACTGGCTGTGGTAGAAACTATAAAAATGTAAGCAAGATTAAATATATTGTTCCCTCCCCTCCAGCAGTAAATTCTTATGAATGTAAAACTTTCACTTGCAGGAATTCTAAAAAAGAAGCTGACTTAAACCTGGCACAGGCTCGTATAAGAGATCTTGATGCTCAGCTGAACTCCAAGGAGGCTGACTTAGCAA